CGGGCGGGGCGCGGCGGGTGCGGGGCGCGGCGCCCGTGCGGGGCCGGCTGTGCCCCCGCAGCCCCCCCCGGCGGGACGGCTGTGAGAGCGCCGGGATGCAGGCAGCCCGTCCCGGCCCCCTCCGCCCTGCCCAGGTGTAGCGGCCCGGGGCGCCCCGCAGAGCGGGCGGGCGGTGCGCGCCGGCGGCCGCCGCTGGTTGGGCGCCCTCCGCCTGTCGCTGGGCGGCGTGTGAGCGGGATGGCCCCGCCTCGGCCCCGCGCCTCCGCCCGCCCAGGCACAGACATGACACAGACACACAGTCGCTGCAGCCGCCGCTGAGCCAGCCCGGGGCAGCGCGGCGGCAGCGGGCACACGGCTCCCGGCACTCGCGGACCGGCAGCGGCGGCCGCCCCCGCGCCCGGCTCCTCCTCGGCCCCGCCGGGCGTGTGGCCGCGGCCCCGAGACCCGCAGGGGGCAGCCTGGCACCGGGCGCTGGCGGGAGCCGGCGGGGGAAGGCTGGCAGCGGGGAAGGGGCGGGAGGCAAGGAAGGAAGGAAGGGGAAGGGGGCAGCCTGGCACTGAGAGTCGGAGGCGGCCGCCAGGCACGGGCACGGAGCGAGCCCGGGCGGAGCGCGGCACCCAGCGGTCGCTGATGTCGGGCCGGCAGCAGTAGCAACGACCGCGGCGGTGCCGGAGGGAACCTCCGTGCTCGGCTCCACGGTGCCGGTGACCTTCCCGGAGCTGCTCGCCAGGCCGGGGCAGGGCCTCCTCTCCCCGCGGAGAGCGTGCACCAGGCCCCGGGGAGAGGACAGGAGGCTGGGCCGGAATCCCCCGTCGCCCACGGGTCCTCCTGGCCGCCGGCGGGGCCTGTGCGCCGCGCGGTTCGCCGCCGGCGAAAGGGGCGGGGGAAGGCGAGCGGGACGGACAGGCGGACGGGGCCGGGCTGCACCTCGGGACAGCGCGGAGCGGGCAGGCCCCGGAGAGAGCTGAGCTGGGCGGCGGAGGAGGCGGCCACCTCGGCGGCGCATCCCGGGAAGAGTCGGGACCTCCCCACCGCCCTCCTCCTCCTCCCACCGTCAGCAGCTCCTCGTCCCGCGGAGAGTGGAGCCGCCAGTGCCGCCCCGGCTGTGATCCGCTGGCTGACACCTCCGGAGAGCGGGGCTGCGGGCACGGAGCTGGAGCTGCCCGCCTGGAGCGGAGGAGGAGGAAGGACCACTTGCCTGCGCGGAGCAGCGGGCGCTGAGCGCCCGTCCCGGCGGCCCGGGAACCACCCGGGGAAGGTAAGAGCCTTCTCGTTGAGCCTATGGTGCTTTTAGAGGCGAGGGGCGGGGGAGGGCAAGGAACAATCGATGAGTGTCTCCCTTCCAGCAGCCCGTGAAGGGGAGAGGGCACCCAAGTCCAGAGGGCCGGGCTGGCAGCTTTATCTCCTGGATTTTAATCCCCATCAGATCCGGAGTTGAAGAGATGCTCGGGCGGAGGCGCGCGTGTCGCTTCCCGGCACAAAGGGGCACGTCCCCCTGCCGAGGGAGGTTACCCCGCCCGGCTCGGACCCCGCTCCCCTCGCCAGTCCGCTGGCTAGCCCCGCGCCGCACGCCGCTCTCCTCGGCCGGGATGTGCTCCCGCTCCGTGGGGGCTCCAGCCGTGGGGCAGCGGGTCCGGGCAAGGGCGGCGGGCTGCGCTCCGGCGTCCGGGAGACCCCGGGGCTGGTGTCCGCTGCCGGGCGGGTGGGAGGGAGTCGCGACGTGCGGTGTGAGCGCTCTGCCCGCGGCGAGCCTGTTCCGGGAGCCGGTCCGGCGGAACGGGACCCGCGGGGCAGAGCTGGAGTTTGGCTGGGACGCCGAAGCGAGCAGGGTGGCTTCCCCATCCCCCGCCAGCCTCCCCAGCAAGCCTTCTGCCCAGGAAGCTCCCCTTTGGGAAGGCTTCTGCTATCACCTCCTGTACAAGAACTGTGTCATTTAGATCATTAATCCCTGCGCACCGGGGGATGGGGGGAAAATAGCAACTTGCGGCCCTGTGGAGGTGACGTGAAGTTTGACAATGCCTTATGTAACACTTTTTGGAGAGATTCCTAGCTTTTCTGCTGTGCCCAGTTTTAGTTTTAGAAAGAAAGTGATTTTTGTTCTTTGCAGAGCATCAGATAAGCGATATTTATTTGCGTTTTCACCTAAGTACAGTGTCTTCTGCTTTGTTCAACTTGGAACAGGGGTACTGCTAAACAGCAAATTAAGCCTACTTTTTTTCCAACGTGCGTTTTTTTAAAACTGAAAATTAGCCAATGGAGGCATCTGCACAGTTGTTATAAGGTCTTACCTTTTTCTGTATGTATTGTACATGTTTTTTATAGGACTGTTAACATGACTACAGGAAACATTTTCACAGCACTGACTGTTGTTTATGTCTTCTGGAAGGTATGGATGCCAGGATGAAAATGACAATAAATCAAATGTCTCTTAAACATTATTAGGGGTTTTTTTACACAATATCAGTGCTGGAAGGAACAGAAGGGCACCAGGCTAAACAAAGTACTATGTTAACACCAGACCTGGCAATTGCCAACAGGTCAGCACATTTTATTTAATGATAGCTTCTGGATGTAGATTAATTTTCTTTGTACAAAATAATTTTTTAAGCTTGTTCAGAAATAGAAACAGCAGGAAATTTGATAAATGGATTGAAAGGTTGCCTAGTTTCCCTGCAGTTTCCTTAAAGGGTTATGCCTTCTGCTGTGGAATAAAAACCCCAAAATGTAGCCTCACACAGAAAGACAGGGTAGTGATTTGCTACTTACTCTTCAGACTGCCAACTGCGAAGGCACACTAGGGGCACTAGTGTGGGTGAGATTTTCCCCCTCATTCAGTGGTGAAAATGCACAGACTATTCTAATAAGACGGATGAGATTAATTTTTTTTCTAACCTTCTAGATCTCCATCTTTATAATATAGGCTTAGAGGAGAAATTGTATATATAAATTCAGGTGATGAGTTAAGGGCAGGAGGGATCTTCTAACAAAGTTATTCTGCTCCCTGCTGCAAATGGAGATAGATTATCAAGGTTAGTTTACTTACAAGAACAGGACAACTTAACAAAAAACCCTTACCCCAAATGTCTTCACTGTGTGTCAGTTTTTTAAAAATAGAGAAATGTGGAACAAGTATCCCTAGTCTTCTTGAAAACTGCAAATAGCTGATAAGTATTCCAAGTTTGAAATGTGAAATTCTTACTGCTTAGGTGTCCTGTGACGGCCCTTGATCAGAAAGGCTGCAAGTCATGTAAAAGCCGCAGTAACTGCAGAGTCTCTGATGGATAATTGGATTGGTAGGTTGGTTTTGATTTTTTTTTTTTTTTTGGCTTTTAATTGCCTACTGTGGTAGCTGGTTCTTTTTCTCTGTCCTGTTGATGTTTAGTTCTCACAATTTTTATGTAGTGTGCAGCATCTTTCCTGGTCAAAGTATATCCCCCCTTGTCAGTTGCTGGTGAGGAAAGCATAGCTTGGAGGTATTTGAATGGCAGTATGTAGCAAGATACTTTTTTTTTTAATATCCAAAATATGCATGACAACTTTTTTTCTTCGTTGTTTAGATGACATAAAAAGATTGTAAGTTTTCTCAGGTTTGGAGAAATATGTACTGGTTTTCTTTGAAGGAGCACTGAAAATAGTGTTACTTATATGTTGAATTCTCTGTACCAGCTATTCAGTCTACAGGAATTCCAAAGTACAGTCCTCAGAAAGCCAAAGTGCAGAGCCGTGATGAATGACTGCATGTCTGTTGGCAACATTAAGATCTGTCAGACGTTTGATCTGAAATTTCAGTGTGTAGGACTCCAATATTAGTAAAAGTAGTATTCCTTCTGAATGAATTATTTTAGAAAACTAGTAAAACTAGGCATCTCCCATGTGCACTTAACTTGTGGAACTGAAGTAGTGTTAAAAAGAATGATTTTGAAGGAACAATTCTCCAAACTCTTGGGAGACTATTTCTTGCTCAAGTATGTGGTTTTTGTTTTTACCTGCGATAAACAATCAGTTGTCAATAGATCCTTACTGGGATACTGTTCTTTTATCTTCTGTCTCATTTCTTTTTTCTTTTTTTTTAAATACATACTCTTATAAGAGCAATCTAGAAAACCCCAAACACATGTAAACACAAAACCAACAAAACTCAAGTGGTTTTTTTTTTCCCTGGTGTTTATAAGGGCAAATAATGGGTAAAATTCATAATCTGACTACAAAGTCTTTGCACTATATGCTAAACTCGATCTACATGCAAGCTCCTAACAATCTCGATGGGAGTGCTTGTCTAGATCCAGAAATGCAATTTATTTTTTTTTTAACATGTGTCTTTATTTCCTGTCTTGTATGAAAGCCCATGTTAATGAGCTCTTGTCAGCTTTGAAGACCTTTCATCATCTGCATTACAATAAATTAACAAAATATCTGTTTTAATGATATGAGATTTCTGGTGTGTCTCTTTCTCCTATAACCTGTCTGTGCTGATAACATTATGATTTGTGTGAGAAGTGAACATAGTGGCCAATGCAAGCTTGTCTTCATTCTCTTCAGAGTTGGCTCTATTGGTTATTTGCCTAATGCTGTGGCTAAAGAACTTTCTGAAAAGTGATTTTGTGTAAGGAAACATACACACGTGTCCATGTGCACTATTTTTGGTCTGTTTTCTGGGTTTGGCTCATCTTCCTCTTTGTAGTGAATGCTAGCTTTAAAAAGCAACCATTGTTCATTAATGCTGGCTTTAAAAAACAGTCATTGTACATTATCCCACACTTGGCATAATTTAAGAGCTGGAGAGTCAGAAGTACCTCAAGGAAGGTATTTTTACTTTTCCTTTTTGTTTTTCATTGGATCACTAATTTTTCTTTTCCTTGTGATACACCCACCTGAAGATAAGGGTTAAGAAATGAGCTTTGTACCTAGTAGGGATTCATGACTCTTTTGGTGTCGCTTGGCTCAGTATTTGAAGGTCTGTCTCGTGTCCTGTCAAAGCTTGTTCAATGCATGGCTGTAGAAGGGGAACAGCAGATAACAAATTCTATTTTATACAGAAGTTGGTGGCTCAAAAATCAAGGAGAAAATTGCTAGAAAGGATTATCCTGGCCTTGGCACTGACTTTGAAGAAATCTGCCAAGGCTGGAATCCTTGTTTAAGTGCCATCTGTGTCAGAATTAGAAGCAAACTGTGTAAAATAGTTCCATTACCTGTTTTAATTTGCAGATCAGACCAGGTCTGATAATGTTTACTGTAGTAATCCACATCACTTTCTTTCTTGGATATAGCTACTATTTCCACAACAATGGAGTTAACCAGGCAGAAGCTACACTTAAATGTCAAGAAGAACCCTGGCACTGTCTATCTGATACTGTTGCAAAAAGCCATATGAATCATGTAACCCTTATAGTGGAGGAAGCTGGAAGTCTCCAACCATGCAGGCAGAATGCAGCCTTCCTCACTAACCTCCACATAAAATAGCTATGCTTGAAAATAATAAAAATAAGTTGTTTTTCAAGGCTGCAGTTCCCTGTCCTTATGCCTCTGACCTCTTCACTAGTGAGTTCTATGAGGAGATGGGTGTCATCACCACTCTACTCTTCTCCTATGCATTTTTGAGTGTTGATGAGTCATTTCTGTTACTCCATGTCTATACCAATTTTTTATCCTCAGGGAATAGTTGCACATGATAACCCAGACTATCCATGCTGCCTGAGGGGCAGCTTGTCAAGGGTAACATCTAACAGTGTCTTGCTTTACCATTTTTGCAGGAATCTATGAAAATTATATAAATCGTAAAAATTTCTGATCTACTATTGTTTGGCAAAACTGCAATATCAGCGGTAGCACCGGAACCACAGCTTTCTAAAATCAGAAGGATGACGCCCATATCAGCTTAAACCTGCTTTCACATTCTGGCATTGAGTTTTACAAGAAAACTTATGTTCAGCCAAAAAAAAATAATCTTTTTAAGCAGCCTCCTGATTCCTTCGCAAGAAAGTTTCTGCTGCTTAGAACTTCCAGGGAAGTTGAGTTGTCACTTTCATTTGCACCTCTCAATATTTCCTCTAAAGTTTATCCCAGAATGTAATATTTACATACAGAGAGCCAACATTTTGGTTGTACTATTAGCTTGTAGATTTCTGTCTCCTGGTAGGCATTTGACAGCTAAGACTTAGGACTAGAAGAAAACTGGACATTATTGTTACTGAGAAATCTTCATTTAAATACAGAGAAGAATGAAGGATTTTGTTTTAGGGGGAAACAAAGAAGAGGAAG